CCTGGCGGCGGGCCCCCCTCCCGGCCAGGCCCTCGGACCGTGTCCGAAGTGCCCGGCCGGTCAGTCCGCCCCTGCACCCAGACCACTTCAGCTCATTGAAGTGGTCTGGGTGCAGTGCCCTATCAGTTTAACCCTGCAATTGTAATTATTGCATTTATTGATAAACTGCAATAATTACATTACAGTGTAAACTCCACCTCTAGTGGCTGTAGGGGAGCTGGATGGACCTCTTAAGTACGAAATGTGTATGAATGTGATGTTTGCATAGGTATGTCAGAGATTGTGTGTCTGTGTGTATTTGCGTGTATGTCCGTATGTGATTATGTATGTATATGTATGTGATTGTGTGTATAGGTCAGTGATTGTATGTGTTAGAGTATGTGATTGTGTGTATATCTGTGATTATGTGTGTGCATGTATGAGATTGTGTGTATATGTATATGATTGCATGCAGGGCCGGACTGGCCCACCGGGATACCGGGAAATTTCCCGGTGGGCCGGCACACTAGGGGGCCAGTGCGCGGCCGCCTAGTGTGCACCAGCCCGGGTGGCGCTCCCCTCCTGCCGGTCACAGAATGTAGCGTGGCCAAGCAGGCAGACCGCGGTAGGGGAGCTTCTGTTCCCCTACCCGGTCTGACACGAACCTGCATGAATGAGAATGCTCCTCCCGCGAGCAGGCAGGTTGGAGCGTTGCCGTGCGTTACCATGGCAACGCTCCGACCTTGACCTGTCTGCTGTTCTCGCAGGAGGAGAGAAAAGTCAGCCTGCAGCCAGAGGAGCTGCAGGCTGAACAGCACGCGCCACCACTGGACCACCAGAGATCGAAGAGTAGCCGTCCCCAGTAGCCGTGACCAAAGGTAAGGTGGGAGGGGGGTAAAATGCCCATACACACACTACATATCCACCCAACCCACCAACAGCAACCCTCCCCCCCACCAACAGCACCCCTACCCCCACCAACAGCACCCTCCCACCAACAGTGCACCCCTCCCCAACAGCACCCCCACCAACAGCACCCCTCCTCCCCCACCAACAGCACCTCCCCACCAACAGCACCCTCCCGCCCACCAACAGCAGCCCTCCCCACCAACAAAGCACCTCCCCACCAACAGCAACCCTCCCCACCAACAGCAGCCTCTCCCACCAACAACAGCACCTTCCCCCACCAAGAGAAACCCTCCATGCACACAGAACCCCTCCACGCACACAGAACCCCTCCAAGCACACAGAACCCCCTTCACGCTCACAGAACCCCTCCATGCTCACAGAGCCCCTCCACGCACACAGAGCCCCTCCATGCTCACAGAACCTCTCCAAGCACACAGAACCCCTCCACGCTCACAGAACCCTTCCACACATACACAGAACCCTTCCACTCACACACAGAACCCCTCCACTCACACACAGAACCCCTCCACACACAAACGGCACTCTCTCCACACACACACTAAACCGCTACACACACTGCACCCCCTCCAAATACACACCGCACCCCCCCACACACTGAACCCCTACACACACTGCACTCCCCACTCACTGAACACACACACTGCACCCCTCACTGTAGTCTGTGTGTGTGCGTGTATTCACCAGTCTGTGCGTGTTCACCAGTCTGTGTGTGTAATCACCAATCTGTGTGTATATTCCGTAGTCTCTATATGTGTGTATTCAGCAGCCAGTGTATATATTCAGCAGTCTGTGTGTGTTTTTTGCGGTTTGTGTGTATTTAGCAGTCTGTCTCTGTGTGTAAGTATTGTATTTGTTGGAGGTACCAATAAATATAAGCCTAATTTTATTGATAATTTATATTTTTATTTCTTTGAGTGGTTGCATAGTCAGGGCCCCAGTGCATTGGTTTGCCCAGTGGACTATTATGCTGTTACGATGGCCCTGGTCTAGGGTATGTGTGTGCTCTGATGATCATGCTCCTACAAAATGTAAATGAAAAGACACTCATTTGAGTACCAGGAAGGGGATGAACAGTAACAGCCACTTCTGGCCAAGAAGAGATTAAAAACTTATGTATTTCTCTGTTTTGTTTTGGGTTTTTTTAGCGATTTTTGTATCGCTAATGGGTGTCCAATTTTTATATTTTCTAAATCTGGTCACCCTAGACACATGGAAGGTTGAGAGGGGGCATATGGACACATGGAGGACTGGGAGAGAGGGCTAATAGGACACATGTGGGGGCTACTGGATTGTATGCAAATGCACATCTGCATCTGCTTACAATAAATCTGCTCTGCTTTATTTTGAAGCCCTATATGTGCTTTCTTTCATGTTTGAGTGCTAGTTTTCAGTTTTTTTCCCGCTTCCATATCTGCGCACTATGCTGGCGCGATGCATTACAGGGCTGGTATGGAATTTTTTCCCAGGGCTGCTTTTCATTCCCAGTCCGGCCCTGATTGCATGTAAGTCTTTGATTGTAAGTATATATGTGATTATGTGTGTGTATATCTAGGATTATGTTTTTGTATGTATGTGATTGTGTATATAGGTCTGTGATTGTGTGCGTGTGTGTATATGTGATTATGTAATTGTGTGGATAGGTCTGTGTGTGGCTCTGTGATTGTGTGTGTGCATGTGTGTGATTGTGTGTATGGGTCTTTGATTGCGTTTATGTCTGTGTGTGTGTATATTGGTTATGATGAGCTTGTATATGTATGTATGTGATTGTGTGTATAGGTATGTGATTGTATGTAAGTCTGTTATTGTGTGGTTATATCTGTGATTATGTGTGTGAATATCTATGATTATGTGTTTGCATGTATGTGATTGCGTGTGTGTGTCTTTGATTGCGTGTATGTGTGTGTGTGTAAATCTATCTGTGGTTATGTGTATGTATGTGATTTTATGTAAGTCTGTGACTTTGTGTGTATATCTGTGATTATGTGTTTGTATGTATGGATTGTGTGTATAGGTCTGAGATTGTGTGTGTATCTGTGATTATGTGTATGTGATTGTGTGGATTGGTCTGTGAGTGTGTGTATGTGTGTATGTCTGTACGTATGTGATTGTGTGTATAGGTCTGTGATTCTATGTGTGAGTCTGTGATTGTGTGTTTATGTCTGTGTGTACATATGTGGTTATGTATGTATGTAATTGTTTGTGTGCGTATATCTGTGATTATGTGTGTATGTATGTGAGGGTGTGTAGGTCTGTGATTGTACATATATGTGATTATGTGTGTGTGTGTGTGTGTGTATCTGTGGTTATATGTGCATATGTATTTAAATGTGTATGTGTTTAGTAGATAGCTCCCTAATTTGGTATCCTTAAATATGGCAATCCTGCATGAGGCTAACAAATAAGGGAGTTATCTACTAAACAATTAAAATATCAAAATTTAAAAAGGGCTTTTAAAGTTGTATTACTTATATGCATAACTACATTAAATATTTAATGTGTGGACCAAGACAATTCTGCTTTGTTCAATGCGGCCTGGGGAAACCAAAAGGTTGGACACCCATACTTTAAACAATGCTGTCTTAAACTTCTTAAAGACTCATTCAATCTTACACAGCTTGTTTCCCCTTTCCAATCTTAATGTATTTCTCTCACAATCCTTCCTCTATCTGGTTACATTATTTAATTGTTGTTTTTCTCATTCACTCTCTAGCACTCACCCGTGATCTCTCCCTCTCGTCCTTTCTCTGCCTATCTCCTAGTGTGCTGTATTTTATTTTATGCCCTCTTACCTTAGCTGTTTTCCTCATGTTATCCATGTGAAATAACATCAGCTGCATTGATTCTGGTGAAAAACTGATTTTCTCCCCTAATATCTTTTATTATACCAATAAAATATGATCCATGGATATTGCCACAGACTCTTCATTCACTAGAAAATAAGATTTCCCTTTTGCTTATTTCCTAGCTAAGGATTTTTGAAAAGCTTTCAATCAGAGTCTGCCCAGCAGCTTTCAGACTAGACTGCAGATACGTCTTACAGAACCTAGGTATCGGACAATCTCCATCCATCACAATTTCACCGTCATATAATCTATTTTAAATTGTATTATTTATATGTCACTAATCTCCCCAAGAGGAATCAATATGCTTTAAAGCATACTCTTGGATTTAATCAAATCAGTTACTGATTAACACATGCTACTATCACTTGGTTCTAGTATTCTCAACCTCAAGAGTATGAATTGCCGAGGTTACCATACCAGGATCTAACATGCAACCTTCTAATTAGCATTGGATGTACAGTTGGTGCTTTAAGTTAGGTCAACGGTCATTGCTATAGCTTGAACACACTCATATTTTAATTGATCAGTAAATGTTAAAAATCATAACTTCTAGAAAGTCTGTGTTGTGATTTTCTAGTTGGAGGAAATAACTTTGGGTCACTGCCACGTCGGCTGCTAAGTACATGTAAAGGGATACTTTAAGCACCAAAACATTTAGGAGTTACATCACTTTCTTTACAAAGCCCTAGTTGCATCTACCATGGCTGTGACTCACACAGCCACCTTAAAATATAGTTTCATTCTGAAACTGATCTGACAGCAGTGTTTTTACTTTAGAAGTTCTTATCTCATGCTGTTAATTTAACTTTAATCACATACACATGAATCTGCTATGGACTCTAACAAACAGTAAATGGAGCAGGGGATAATAACTTCTAAATTAAACATGCTGTGTACTAAGGGGAGCATAAAAATTTGACCCTTTTTCAGGAAATTTGTAGAGAGGCTCTGTGAGTCACAGCCAGGGGATGTATGGCTTGGCAGCCTAAACAAAGTTATTTAACTCTGCACAGAATTGAGAGGTGAGTATCATAATCTATACTGTGGTAAATGATCAATTACCAAATTAATATATTTATTACACAAGGTTCGTCTACATTAAAAGGTATTTATTAGAAGGCAAAAACACAATACTATAAATTTATATCACACACACACAGCTCAGACCCACTGAGCAACAACCCTTTTTAAATCTATCCATCTATATAGTAATCCCCTTCCCCACACGTTTGATCTCACCCACGGTTAGGCCTTCACATCTAGTAATGGCTCACTGCTGCAAGTTCAACATCATATCCACCAAGGAAGAAAAGGAAGCAACAGAGTGTAACATGGTTCACCATGCTAGCACATGGCGCCTGCACATCTGCTCTGCAGCACAGCCAAGAAGGAACAGAGAGGAATAGGGATAGGGGGAAGTGGTGACTTGTAAAGGTATTGAATTACCCAATTACCATTTCAATGGGTAGAACTTGGTCACATGACCCCCGGTCACCATATTATTTGATGACAGAATGTCACCACATATACAACAAAACAACTTAATTAAGCTAAAATTGTTTTGGTGTTTTGTGGCTGATGTATACCCGGACCAGGCTGGGTTTGTCCCAGGGCGAGAGGCCACGGACAATACCACCAAGGTCTTAAATGTGCTAATTGGAGCAGCCGTAACCAAAACACCCACGCTTTTAGTCTCGATTGACGCTGAAAAAGCGTTTGACAGGGTGGACTGGCCCTATCTATTCACCACCTTAAATGCACTGGGGCTTGGGTTGAACATGTGCAACTGGATCCAGGCACTATACAGAGGGCTGACGGCAAGTGTCAATAGTACACTTTCGACCCCATTCGAGATCAGGAATGGTACCAGGCAGGGCTACCCACTCTCCCCCTTCTATTCATCTTGGCCATGGTACCCTTTTTGAATGCTATCAGGAGAAATGAGGGTATGCATGGCTACAACTATCAAGAGGGAGAAAAGAAAATATCTGCATTCGCGGATGACGTCCTCAATTTTACAGAACCTCACTCCCCCAAATAACTGCAGAGATCCAAAAATTTAGTGGCATGTCAAACTTCAAAATAAATGCGGACAAATGCGAGATTATGAGGATAGCCCACATACGGAACACATACGCAAACAAGTGGACTGACACGGGACTTACATACCTAGGTGTCTGTCTCACAAACTCCTTCAAAGACTTAGTTAAACTAAACTATCTCCCATTCCTATAAAAGATATGTAGTGACCTGGCAAAGTGGGACCTTAAGCACTTCTCCATGATAGGCAGGAGTAACATTATTAAAATGATGATATTGCCCAGATTGCTCTATCTGTTCCAAACCTTTCTGATTTTACTCCCGCACCGTTTCTTTCAGTCCCTTAAGCAAGTTTTTACCTCCTACATGTGGCAAGCCAAGCCTGCAAGGCTGGCATACGGTACTTTGATGAAGGACAGATGGAGGGGGGCCCTGGGGTTACCACATATGTATAGATACTACATATCAGTACTCCTTATGAGAAGGATAGAATGGACAACAACATGACAGGAAGAAATTGTGGTACGAGCTAGAGCAGAGTTTTGCTAAAGTACCATTACACACCCTCCCTTGGCAAACATACCACCTAAGTAAAATCTCACAGGTCCCCCACCCACTCATACATCATATCCTGGCAAATGGAGATCCCATAGAACCACATGGAAACTAGCCCCCCCACTTAACCCATTGGCAATGAACCCAGACTTTAACAATTGTCAGGGTGCACAGACCCTGAAGCACCTGACAGAAGACCGCAATCTGACCGTCAACATGATACTTACAAAAGCAGCCCCCCAGGAATCAGAGACCTTGGGAGGTCGGACAGACAAGACACGTTATTGGACATCATGAGGTTGTCCCAGCTTAAACACTTCCTGCAGAGAGACATAATTCCCCTAGGTTGGATTAGAGATGAGACACCTTTCGAGGCACTATCCGGGCTGGATAAGCACACCACACGCCCAGTATCCACAATTTATAAAGTGCTGCAAACAGGTGCAGCAGAACAGAATGAAAAGACCTTCCAGCAGAAGTGAATGCAGGGTCTCCACATGCATTTGACGGATGAGGACTGGGCAACTATACTGGAAAAAGGGATGACTCTTTCAGTCAATGTATCTAGGAGAGAGACGTTCTACAAGCGGGTCACTAGGTAGTATAGAAACCCCACACAACTGGCTTACGATAAGTGACCAATGTTGGAGGTGTGGGGAGGAACTGGGGACCATGAAGCATATATAGTGGTTCTGCAAACAGATTAGGCCGTATTGGGACCAAATCATACAGACCATACAAAGCATACTCCCTCTGAAAAATACATAGACCCCATCCCAAGTTTTGCTGTGCTGGCCAAACTCCATCCCACACAAGTACAACGAAAATGACTGCACCTTCTTCTAGAAGAAGCCAATGCATTAATCCCAGTTTACTGGCGCCAAACCCTAACCAGAGTAGAAAGTATGCGGGAAATGGAGGACCTACACTGGTCGGTGGAGGGTAAATGTACAACATACATATGAACATGGAAACCTTGGTTAGCACACTGGAGACATTAAACAGAACAATCAGCTTCAACAGAGTGGAATTATTGGGTAAGCTAGTAAGACAGAGGCTATAGGACTCCCCCCCAGCCCATCCTATCCTTATCCCTTAAGTTTCACCTACTGCACCAGTTACTAATGGTTGAGACTTTGTGGAGGGGTGGAGAATTTTCACTCCAAAAATGTAACAGTATTTTAACAATGTTAATACGTTTTGTCAAAGTCTTGACCCCCCACTATGTATGTGAAATGTTCCCCTTTTTTTCCTTTCTGTACCCCCATTTTCTTTGCAATATGGAAAATAAAACCAATAATTAAAAAATAAAAAAAGGATGAGGGAGGCTGCAAAATCTTTGCTTTTCCAGGAAAAAAAGGTGGTGCCCAGTTTTGTTAAGCTGTGATAAAACATTTCTTTGTATATTATAATGTACAATACTATTTTCAATCTGAATGATTTGTATATTTCCATACATTTCATGTCATGAATGCTTATTTTTTTGTCTTGATTGTGCATTTCCCCATCCTTGTGCAGAGTGGTATTTCATGTCTATTGAATAGCTGACATCCATATTGTTATGTTTTGTGGTTTTCTTTTTATTCAACCCCTTAAGGACAGAGACATTCAGTTCTAAGTGTTTTTTACTAATAAAATGTGTAGCTGAAGCCTGCTATTCCCGTCATGTGATCGGGATGTCATCGTGATCACATGGCCCTGAAGAACCAGACTGGCAGAAGGGGGACCGCCTGGGATGCTATGGATCGCTGTAGGAGGTAAGTATGGCAGGGTGGTAGGGCCAGTTTTCAGCAGGGTGTTCTATGCTGCCCTGCGTCTTTAAAGCCCAGCTTGTGCAGACCGCCATAGAACACCTGCTTTCATTAATGGGTTAATTGAAAAAGGTTTCAAAAATGTCCTAAATTCTAAACATGCCGAACTGCCATCAACAGCTTGTCAATACAGCCCTCATTCGTTATCACTGAGTTAATTTGTGCTGTAGTGGAAGAAGGGGAGAAGAAATTATATCAATGTAGTACTGAATTGTGTATATTTACCATATAATTCAATCTTTTACCACTGGCAATAGATTATTATCTTTGTTTGTGGAGCACCAAACTCCACAAAATGAATGGGTGCTCACCTAGCAGTTGAGGTCATTTTGACAGTACAGTGTATAGATATCCCAGAGATATACATACTAAATATTATATGTGAGGGATGAATAGTTAAACACACTGTGATAAAAAGATCTTGTATGGTACAAAAAAAGTCGTATACTAGCACTCTCTTTAGGAAATAGGTCTCAATGATCTAAAATACATAAGCAACAAAACAACCTAGTGCAATATAGCCAGAAATAAATATATATATTAAAATTGGTGCTCTTTAAGAAATACACTTACAATTTTGAAGTGGTTTTAGTACCACTCCGGGCTCTCAGGCACAGGGAGAATCAGACCGTTGGGAACGTTGGATTCTAATGTGGGTTTTCAAAACAAACTCACCACCAACCAAAACCATGAAGTTAGATGCTTTATTTCACATTAAAACAGTAATATTGTAAATAAAATAAGAAATGAAATCTCACTGCATTTGGAGAAGATCAAAGTCCTGGGTATCGGTAATTCTACAGTCCAAGCGTCCTCTTGCTGTGTTCCACAGCTGATCACTGTCTCTTCACACGTGCAGGGACTTGCGGGTTTGGCGTGTGTTGCTACACGTTTCGCCCTCCTTCTCGGGACTTTTCAAACATATAATGAGTAGGAGAACTGCATATTACCGTTGTTTTTTTATAGTTTCCTTAAGGTGATAACATTTATTTTTATAATTACTTGCGCCATTCTAATTTATTGCAGATTTTTAGTACAGTGTATAGATAACATACAACCATGTTTTCTGGTTAAACTTGTTACTCACTACAGTTACTCCTATTTTTTCCTCTCAAGCTGTATTATGAGTCCTAAAGTCAGGGGACTGTATGCAAAAAAAAGACCTCAATAAATGCTGTTATATAATGATTTTTTTTTTATTATTTTACATTAAGCTCTGTAGTTATCACTTGGAGCATGCTAATACCTGAAGTCTAAGAGATAGATATTATCCATCATACGCCAGGTCAGATCCCGGCATTAAGTTTGCACATTTTCTTTATCTACTGGGACATTCTCTAGCATCAGATCAACAGACAAATATCAATTTGAGATTATACAATTGTATAATTATATTATAATCAGAATATCAGACATGCGGAATATGTTTTATTTATGTTGAACTGGGCTGTTTCTAAAAGAACTTACAAGTTCTATCTCTAATTCAAAACTGGGCTGGAAAATATGACAGTATTAAATGTGTAAATTATCTGCAGGATCCCTGTTGGATAGAGTGCTTTTGCAGTGTCAGATGTGCAAATTATCTGTGTGAACTTAAATGAGCTAGGCGAGTGACAGTATTAGATGTGCAAATGATTTGTATGATCTCTGCTGGATTGGTCTGTTTTGCATTAGTAGATGTGAAAATTATCTGTATGATGCATGTAGGTCTGGGCTAATTCACACATTTGCTGAATATCTTTATTCCAGCGAATAAATACTAAACAGCTGAAAGTTGCACATTCATTCTGTTGGTAATAATATCGACAAGGATCTTCGTCTCATTTATGTGATATAGTTCAATTCATTATATAAACATAGAAACATAGAATGTAATTTTCTAAATACTTTAATTAGTCCCTGGCCTTATCTTATAGCTAGAATAGCCTAAAGCCTATCCCACAAATGCTTAAACTCCTTCACTGTGTTAACCTCTACCACTTCAGCTGGAAGGCTATTCCATGCATCCACTACCCTCTCTGTAAAATAATACTGATATTATTTTTAAACCT